CGGACCAGCGGGACTGCCCCTGGCATGGCTGTCTGGGTCCCTCCCTCGTCCGGTGCAGCCGGAGACAAAACCGCCTTAAAGTCTGGTGGCCGGGCATCGCAGGGCCGAAGGCAGCCAGGCGGCGGCCAGAGGGTGGGCGGCTGTCGTACAAGTCTAGTTCTGCTTCACAAAGTGTACAGAAATGGCATTTACGTTTCTTTGATGCTTCCTTGAAGCCATAGGACTTAGGGGCTTTTTTAAAAAAATAAAATAAAAATGAAACCAATCCGAATGTGGTGTCACTTCTAGGGGCCCAGTGACTGCTCCACCTCCCTGCTCCCCTAGCCTTCTGGGCAGGATGGAGGGATGGGTCCTGGGGCTCCAGGTAGGGCCCACCCTGGAAGGGCCACGGGCACCTCGGGGTCTGAGAAGCAGAAGTGGTGGCAGAACTGAGGCCACAGCCACAGGCTCTCTGTGCTCACGAACCTGACAAGATGGGGACTCAGACACTACCACGGGGGGATTCTGACTCTGGGCAGAGTAGAGCTGGCCCTGTGGGTGTCTGAGGGTATACGTCTGTCTGGTCTTTCTCCTACCGAAGGTGGCTGGTTTCGAACTACAGGCCGTTCAGTTAGCAGCCATGCATAAGCACCGTGCCTCCAGAGCAGGCACGCTTGGTGGCCAGCAGACCCCAAACACCTGGAGGGTTCCAGGCAGTGACCAGGGCAGCCACCCCATCTGAATTGTGCAGCGCAGATCGACACCTACACCACGTCCCATCCTTTACAGGGCAGAGAGGCGTGTCAAGGAGAGTCAAGCACCAGGAACAAGCCCACCTAAGTCTGAATCAGGCCAGCGAGGCCAGGGCTTCAAGACTTGGCGATTCTGGGGAAACGGAGGCAGACATAATGGTGAGGCCTCTGGCAATTGGTTGGTCAAAGAGGAACAAGCTGCACAGGAGAGAACCGCAGACACTGCACGTCGCAGCGCTGCAGCGCACGGAAACGCCCACCACCGGGTCTTGAGTTCCCTGCAGCAACCAGCGGCCTTGAACTAGGAATCTCGGGACCCGTTTACAAAGTTCAAACCAATGAAATCCTATAAGAAATTGGCCAACAAAGGAGTGCTAGGAGACTCCCCCAAAGCAGAAGAAAGCAGTCAATGTGGATTTACACACGGCACCAACAAACCAAATGTCCCACTGGAGAAAAAACATTCGAGGTTCACCATGAGTTAGAAATGAGAACTCTGAGAAATGAGGTGGGGCAAAACCAGCAGAACTGAAGACAGCGGATTGCATTCAGGAACGAATGAGAAGAAAACTTTGATTAAAAAATAGGTTTCAAAATGCCCAAGATTCAAAAGTGGAAATTTTTTAAAAAGGTGCTGGGTTAGGCTTGGTTCTCTGGAGAAGCTAAGCCAGTCCCACAGGTATCCCTATCAAGAAAAGAGTCCACGTACCCGTAGAATTGGCTGAGTCCAGTCCCGTTGCAGCCCCCGAGTCAGCTGTGTAACGCGAGGGTTTTCCTGATGTAGTGGTGGAGGCCGAGGAAGCCGGAAGACCCCACCTGTGGACACAGGATGGATGCACGTCAGGTGACAGGTTCTGATGGCACAAACCCAGAGAACCAGTGGGCCGTGAGCCAGATAGACAATCGAGACCAACCAGCAGTTCTCTCCACAGCTCCACCTCAAAGATGAGGTAGGCCAGGCCCCAAGGAAACAGGGATATAATAACCTAAGGGGTTGCCCTCCACCCTAATCTGCTCACAGCAGATCCCAGATCGCAGTTGATTACCTTATGTTAGATCACATCGTGGCGTGCGGGATGGGGCTTAACTGCCAAGCTAGGAGAATCCTGGCCTAGCCACACTGACGCAAAGCCTAACAGCACACGGGTGGAAGGGAAGACAGGAAACTTGGAAGACAAGCAAAAAGCCAGAGAAAGTGGAAGATGGGCAAGAATAATGATCTCTTTCTTGGAAGAAGTGAAGTAGAACTATGACTAAACTGTCACCCTAGAGAATCTTCCAGAAGCCGACAGAGACAACCAAATGGAAAGGGGCCCACTGAGCACCGGAGAAAAGTAAAACCAGAAATAATTGGCTGCAAGGTCCTTTCTAGCAAAACTTGCACTGAAAAGATTGTTCGGCCATCAACCTGTGCAGGCCAGCAGAAGACAACGGACAGGTACTGAGCCGGCCTCGGCGTCTCTGAAGAAGCTGCGACACACAAACAGGCGGGCTCAGGAAAGTGAGCCAGGGGAACCGCCATGACAGAGGACGGCAACCGCTTTTGTTGCCATTTTAAGCAAAGGCAGACATTAGAATGAAAGGTTACAGGAAACCGTGCTCGACGTGAAAATGACTTGGGAAAAGACTATGGACATCATCCCTTGCCAGCTGGAAGCAAACTTTCTGATGATCCTTCAGCACGCCAACAGCAGCAGCCCAGGTACCAGGAGAGCTGTCGATCTGCTCAAGCAGGAGAATCACACCTGGAACAGCAGGAATGTCGGGTCACTAACTGGCTTCGTTTAGGGTACGCCACTGTCATTCTCCAAGATCCAGCTGTTTTGTCTTTGCCCCGGGGGAGCAACATGCGGGTGGGCTGGGAGTCACCAGCACCCGGCCCCCGGCCCTGCGGCCTCCAAGCCCTTGCTGTGGCGCTAGTTTCGTCCTCTCCAGGGACGCAGTGCTGCTTTGGGTTTGCAGTTTTCTCCGGTAGAGGCCATTTCAATGGCCTCTACTTGGCCTGCCCTACCTTGATGGCCCTCAGCCCCGTGTCGGGGATCTGGTACGGGGGTTCCCTGGAACCAGGGAAGGGGCCCACTGAGATGAACTTGAGCTATCACTCCATTTGCGACGTGACCCCAGAGGCCCTCACTCTGACAGGAGGCCACAGGGACAGTTTGGGTCTCTGAGTTGCCATCGACCCGGTGGCAGTGAGTGTAGTTTCGGTTTGGCAGCAGTGTCACTTGAGAGCCAGAGGCCAGAAACCCCCCAAATGCCTGATGACTTCCTTTCCCCCAGTGAAATCACTCATAAAATCCTGCAGATCCCCTTGAGGAAGCGTGGGAGAAAAAGTAAACATCAACCCTGGTCTCTCCTGACCACTGGCCAGAGTGCGTGAGACCCAGGCTCGCCCGTCCTCGCCTCTGAGGAGCACGCCGCTGGCTGAGCTTCCAAGACTGTTTGTGCTTTTGGCGGCGCAGGGAACTTAAAAATAGGCTTCTCTGGCACCGTAATTCAGATGCACTGATGGTTCCTCTGTCTTCCTATTCAGTGCCCAACTTTGCCATGCATAGAAGATCATTGAAAATACCGTGGCAGGAGAATTGAGGGAAATAGAGGAAAGAGCTGGGAGGCAAAGGGCATTTATAGAGGTCTAGATAAAGACATGTACATATGCAAATGTATTTATATGAGGATGGGGAAATAGATCTACGAGCCTATATTTATAGGTTTAGTATTAAGGTAGCAGAAGGACATTGGGCCT